AAGGACAAGCAGGTTAAAATGTGATTGACTGAAACAGGAACATTGCAAGTGCCACAAATAGGCTCATTATCTCCTTTTCAAGGGATACTGATGTGTCGGTCTGCAATGACCAATTCGTAGTCGAGTCAGTAGTACATTCTCTTTTTGATTCCCTCTCAAATCCCAATACTCTAAATTGGGTTTTACCTCCCTTAATTTCATTCAGAGTCTGGCATTCCCAGAGTTCTTGCCACCTGGACAAGATCTTTGTTCTGATGTAATTCCGTATGTTTGTAATAAGGGACATCATTTTCAGAGGTAATATCAGCAAAATTTTGCTGCGACATCGGCGAGTTCATTGCCTTTGATGCCAGCATGTCCAGGCACCCAGCAGTACGCAATAGAATAACCTGCATTTCTCAAACGGAGGTGAGGCTTTAAAATTTCTAAGAACTAAAGGGTGGCTAGTATTTGTATCTACTGATTCAAGAGCACTCAGAGAGTCACAGTAGATTATGAATTTTCGGCTATTCCGCTTAGAGATAAAGATTAAGGAATTCAAAATGGCAAACATTTCTGCAGTAAAGACAGATACAGCCTTATGAAGTTTACTTCTCTTGATTTCTTTATCACAAATAAAAGCTGCCTTGACATGACCATGATTCTTTGAGCCATCAGCAAAAATTGCTTTATAGTTGGAATGACTGCTTTTATGCTCTAGGGAAATTTGTTGATATTGGACATCATTGGTACTGCTCTTTTTAAATTCTCCAAAAATGTTAAGTAGGTGAATATTCACTTCTTGCCAGCGAGCAATACAAAAAACTTTAAAGCTTTTGGGATGCAGATCTTTTAGGTTAAACTCTTTAATCAGTGAGTGAATGTGAAGATCACTAGGTGGGATACATGAAGGACGTGCTTGGTAGATACGCCAGTACTGATCATATGTCATGAACCTGACAGGATGTTCGGCTTGTGACATTACTTTATAATGAAGATTAATAGACAACTGCTTGCATCTGAATTTCAGAGATGGTTCAAAACAGATGACATAAAAACTTTGGACTGGAGATGTTCTGAAAGCTCCACAGCAAATCCATAGTGCTTGATGGTAGACTGGATCCAATTTCAGTAGCACAAAAGGTCTTGCTGATCCATAGATAACACAGCCATAGTCAAGTTTGGGACAGATTAAAGCTCTATAAATGCGGAGCATAGAACGTTTTGCTCCCCATGAAGTATTGGATACAGGATTGAGAGCTTTAGCACATTTTTTCTTTAGATTTAAGATATGTGGAAGGAAAGTGAGCTTTCTGTTAAATATAACTACTAAAAATTTTGCTTCTGGCTCAACACAGATCAAAGAGCCATCAAGACGCAGATTTCTTTTGTGACAGAAATGCACGCAGATGGTCTCCTGGCTAGAAAATTTAACACCATTGTTGTCGGACCACTTTATGATTCTGTTCAGAGCAATTTATAGTTGTCTCTCTCTCTCTCAATGGAACAAAGTCAGGGGATCCGTGCAAGGTTTAACACAAAGTAATAAAACTTTGATCCATTTTTATTGTTATGGAAAATTAAATAATAAATAAAATAGTAGTGATTTTTACATCCCGAGTAAAATATAAATATAAGTACAAGCTCAAAATACAGTTTGTTACTTAAGTACTGAGGGTTATGTAATACCTTTTGTGGGTGAGCATTGAGAAAACTTATCTCCACTGATTTGACACTTGTATTAACAGTGGTTCGTATAACTTGTTTTAATGTTATTACTAAAACTTACTTATGGTTCATTTCAGTAAATTTAAGCTTTCAATTTCCATCAGCACGCTGACAACATTATAACAACAAAATAACAATAAAAAACTGAGATAATCCCTCAAAAAAGAAAATTTTAAATAATTCACTGACACACGCCTATGATTTAATAGCTCTAGATGCCGACAACTACTTAAGTTATTAACAAGCATAGCACTGTGCGAGATAGACGGCCAAAAACAGGGTTGTACAGTAACGCAATAATGCCACTACATGAACTAACTTGTCTACAATACAGGGCTATTCCTAGTGGGGGTGCAGCACGTAAAGGTACGCAGGTGGCCGGACTGGAGTGATACCATGCCTAAATATTTTTACTTTTTATACAATAGCAAGTACTTTTTATACAATTTGTTATATGAAAGAACTCAGTCAATATGAAATAAAAACTTTACTAATCATTGAGCTTTTTTTTTTTTTCAATTTGAGGGCAGCAATCTCAAGAAAGTACGCGGGCAGCCAATGGCCTAGGAACAGCCCTGCTACAACATAAACATAAAAGAGTCGGACATCTAATCAACAATTTAGTTCTATGTTATGCTGATATGAAGTGTATAAACAAATTTTCTTAGTCTGAGCCATTTCGTCAATCCTTTTTTGTACTGTATTATTACTCAGTGGAATACTTTTTATAATGTTGAAAGCTAGTTTATGCAACATGGTGCATATTACTTCACTTTCAGCTGGTAAAATAAGTTCTTCATCAATAGTGTACGGCTTTCCAAACTTTGGAATCAATAAAGAAATGTTATAAGATGCATGCAGTTCATCATCAAAGTGCATGTTAAAATCGATTTTATGCGTTCTTTGATTCAGTGTTGGAATTCTTGGAAAGCAAAGACAATAATTTGTGACACAATTTAATTAACTCAAAAATGACATAGCCTATATGACTGATTTATTTGCCAAATTTAACGAAACTAATCTGAAACCACAAGGTAACCAATTAAATTTAATCAAAACTAAAAGCGTAAAATCTGCATTTATTGCAAAACTTTTTCTGTACAAACAAAACTTGAGAAGAGGAGAATGTTCTCAGTTTCCAAATCTTTCAAAATTGCAAAATAGAGATGAAAATTTGCTTGCTTACTGTCAACACCCAATGCCTCTTCATGTAGACCTGAACCAAAGATTTGAAGACATTCTTCACTTGGATAATCCCAACAAGGTGTTGAACCCTTTCGCGCATGGACAAACTCAAATCCCAAACACAGATGAATCCAGACTCATACAGGAGAAGCTTAATGAAATATCAAATGAGGAACTTAAAATCAATATTTGAACAAGGATACCATAAATTCTGGTCCCAAACACAGATTCCAATTTTATATTTTGCATTATGGGTTATTGTACAGAAGTTGTTAACCGCTTTCCCATCTTCCATTTTGGTAGAACGTGAATTCAGTGCTGTTACGAACCTCGTCACAAGGGGGGAAACCGACTAAAAATTAGTGGTCGTGTGGGATTTGCGGTTGCTACTCACAAACATTGAGCCCAACATAAATACTCATAACATCTCACCAAGTTCATCCAAGGTCATTAATTTTTTTCAATTTTATTTTAAACAAAAGTTATAATTTCAATAAATACTTCAACAAAATGTTTCTTTAAATTTGTAATTTTTATATTATTATGCATTTATGTAGCTTTGGGGGTCCATGGGCAACTTTTGACTATAAAAAAAGGATCCATGGGTCGAAAAAGTTTGGGAACTGCTGGCCTAGAGTATCAGCAGCAGTGACATGCAGATAAGGAAGAAGTCTAGTATACACCAAGATGCATACATTTCCAGTGCAACTGTCCAATTCAAGCACCAAGGAATAGAAAGGGATTTTTTAAAAGAAGGATGCACCTTGCTGTTTTGATTATTTGCTGGATTTTTAAACCAACATTAAACAGCACATTCACATAATGGACAAAGCCACCACTTTCTTCAAATTGATATAAAAACTGAACTGGCATAAACATAGGTAAGTTAGCTGGACACCAAACTGAACTTTGTCTTTATAACAGTTACCACATGCACTGTTTTCTGAAAGTTAAGAATGTAATGCAAATTTGCAATTTTCTAAAGCCTAGTTGACCACGAGTTGCTGAAAATCGTTGTAGATGAAAATATGTTACAGCCAATCACGACTGACTGTCCAAACACGATAAGTAGAGTCATTTATGATTACTGCTTATTATTCTGCAGTTTCAGGAAGCTTATTTAAATGCTGATACAAAGTGTTTATAACTTTCATAGGATAATTTTTTATGACATTCACATTTCTAGAGCTGACAGAAGACAAATGGTGTTGGCGAATTGTCAGACACATTAAAGCAGAAAATCAACCAAAAAAAAGTCACTTGTTTCTTTGGTTTTGATATTTCAGTAATTTTTTGAATGAGGAAACAATTCATAACAAGTCAAACAATTGTCCAGAGACCCGCATGAAGTCAACCAAGGGTTACCACCCATGCAATATTTTATGTTGGTTCTTATGGATGATAATGTCCACCCCCATCAAGTCAATACTGTCAGGAAGTACCTGCACAGTGAAGGAATTTCTTGTATGGACTGGCAGTTGTATCTCCTGATCTTAAACAGACTGAAACCCTTAGCATGTCCTCAGGCATTCTGTATCTGCACATCCATATTCACCAATAAGTTGTTAATGACCCAAAATGGCATCACCATATAATTTACGAAAATTAAATATTTTTTCATCTCTCTCTGCTGTCTTCTGCCCAATTTGGTCACAATCGAGGCTTTAGATGTTCATTTTTGTTGATTTGTACTGCTGCATCCTTAATTTTTGAAAGACGGTGTCAAATCTTTACCTTTCTATTTTTGTTGTTTTACTAATGTGTGCTAAATTTCTGAAAGCCTATTTCAACTATGGAAGAAAAATTTTACCCTGAACATTAAATGTATTACTACTTTAGAACAACTAAAAGCATTAACTTAAAAAGATATATTGAAAAAATTAAACAAATATATAATCCTTCTCAATTCTTAAATTCTAGCAATCTTCCTTTGCAACAAATTTTCAGAGCAATCTTGTTAGTAGCTAAAAAATAGTCCAAAAAATTTTAAGAAACCACAATAAAAATTAATTTTGAAAATTAAAGCACTGTTGATTAATTTTGTAAAAATCTTACTAAAATACATTAAAATTTAAATTGTTTAAAAATTTCAATTAAGAAATGCTCACTTCGTGGACATTCTCCAAGCTTTTGTCCTTTACCTACAGGAATTTCTTGTTTTTCCTTGGAAGTCGCAAAACTTATCTCAAGGCGTTCAACTTTTTTTCTTGCTCGACAACCAGTTACCTCAACTGGCCTATCAAGAAGACCCACTGAAAGACAATTAATTACTATAAGATAAACTAATACTATGAGATAGGAGGTCCTATTTGTTTGAAATATCTTTTTATGTTCTGTAAACTGAAAATCAACACAATTATCAAAGAGAAAATAATGGACTTCAGAATCAGAACAGAACAATTATTTTGACCCCACCTTGGGAAAATTGTCAAAAGGATTTCAAAAATTTATAAAAACCAAATAAATACTTTTTACAATTTCCGTGAAAATGAATCACAAGGGTAAATTTGTAGCCAAAAGTTTTGCCAACAGCAAGTGTACTAAAAATAGCTATGGTACTAATTTCTTTTATTGATCCTGAACAATTATCTGATTAAGCAAAATGTTTCTTCCAAGAGAATAAGTCATCTTCAATACAGTGCCTAATAATATGGCACAGTGCCCTCTATTGCTGAAAAAATGAAATACATATTTTCTCCCAGACAAGAACTCCCCCCCTTGAGATTCATTTTCATGTTAACTATACACCGTTACTACAGTTCATGTTCTCTTTTTTATGGTGAGGGGGAATAAGCATTGGTAAGGGGGACTTTTACTGCACCTTTGACTTCAGCTAATCTAAACATATCGATTTTGCTTAAATATAATACAGAGGTTACTTAACAGTAATATGATATTTAGCTCAAAATTTTCTACACTAATGAATGCATGTAACTCTTTTTTTAAAAAAACTTGCACTTAATATACAGAAAAATAAAGAAATGTATGATAGCAAGAAAAACTATAAATATATAACCTATAAATTCTTTGAACTTACAACAAATTTGAAATTCTTCATTAAAAATAGTACTTACAAAATATTAAAAAATGAAATTAGAAAATAAAGAAAATTTGGTAATTTTCCGTTTCGCTGACGCAAACCTCGCCATTTTTATTTCTCCGTAGCAAATCTCACCACGCAGACTTTATATGCAACAATACACATTATACACATAAAAAATGTTAACAAATGTTAGTTTTAAGAATTTTTTTATTTTGGAGGCATAAATATTTTAATATTCTTTAAAATTTTTTCAAATGGGTCTTTTGTGTCCTTTTGCCACATAAATTCGGCGCGTAACTTTCCAGATGATGACGTGCCGTTCCTCAGTGTTTCTAATTCTGCCATTTGGTGCTACCCCCCATAGTCCACCCCCATAGTCTTTCTATTTTTTGCATGTATTTTCCAGTTTCTGGATCTACAAAAAATTGCATTTATGGCTCACTTTGAAATATTCGAAACTTTCCTCTTCCAGTTTTTCAGTGTAATATGAATTCCATGGATCGGAATATATCGTAGTTCCTTTTTTCGATATTTTCATTTATTGCCTCTAATATAATACTCATGGATCGGTTTTGGCACCATCACAAGGAAACATTCGTTTGTTTCACGACAAACTCCACCAAAGATCCACTGTTGTGGTAAAATCCGTCCCGCTTTGTGAACATACTTTCATCCACTTCAACGATCATACCTAGGTCCTCATATTTTGCGTTGTTGACATTTAAGTAAAGAATCCACACAACCTCTCGCATGTAGTTATTTCCAATCTACAACTGTTCCTGTGATTGATTTCCAAACTGCATTTAACAACACCATTTAGCTGAAGTTAATTCTTTCACTCCAACCATAAATAAATCTTACACACTTCAAGAAATTCAATCACGATGATTCAAATCATAGCCTTTCCGTATGCTTCTTTTACTTCGGCAAGTTGAAAGGTTGCAGCGCAATTGAATTTAGTCTCCGAAATATAATTTCATTTCATGATTATTATCACAAATAGCAATGTTAGGCAAAACACCTTTCGCTTGAAAGAATCTGACAGATTCTTCCTCAATCCTGGGCAAATCCCAAATTTTCATTTGTTTTTCATCAATTTTTGACATATTTGTAAAAAGACTGTTCATATCACATAACCTCAAATCATCTCATTTCACGTAAACTACGCTACAAAAATCCAATTCTCTCAGTAATTATCTACATTAATTTCAAGTTAAATCTTAGTATGGAATTCGAGTTTAAATGCAAGAATTATTTCAATATTATAATTTTAAAAAATCTATGTAACTGCATGCCAATATTGAAAGAACGGATCAAGCTGATAAGAAATAGTAGTGACTTATTTTGAAAAAGGTGACCTGAAAGGTTATCAGCGAGGATATTATGTTTGGCATCGGTTGTACCATTTTCAGCGAATTTATCCTTGCACCGTCGAAATGGAAAATTGCACCACCCAAATGGAAAAGTACTGAAAATGTTAACATTCAAATAGCAAACAATAAACAACTAATGCTATAAATAAAAGAAACTAATAAATATTTAAAAAAAAAAGTAGAATTACAAATAGAAATAAGAAATTGAAAAAGTTCACTATTATTTTTTTAATATTTAAAGCCAATCTATAAAATTATTAAAGAATGCTCCATTTAATTAAGAAACTGTTATATTTTCAACCAGATACATAATCTACAGATTTTCAAGTTATTTTGTTCAAGCTTTAAAAATTAAAAAAATTAGTAATGCTTAACAATTTTCTCTTCTCTTTTTTGCTTTGTGCCACATAAGCTTACTATACTTTACGCACAAAGTACTTTTTCGATTAAATACGATCCAAACATTAGTAATCTTTATTATTTCAACTTTAATATATTTATTCTCTTTACATTGAACCATTTAATAACAGATGAAATGACATAATATATTGAAGTTCTAAATGGTGCTCATCAAGTAATGCTGAAGATTATTTTAACAGTATAAGCAATTTTTTTCATAAATGTATGCAATATCTTCAAATTATATATGCATAAAAAATATTAATTACATTAGTACATATACTGAAAAGGTTTTTTATTTAAATAAAAACAACCAAATGGCAGACATTTCTATTCAGCAATATTCAAGTTTATCCTTAAAACTAATTCAATACTTAATTTAACATAGCATAACATTAATACTTAATTTATACTAATTAAGCAATTAAATTTAGCATTAGTTTATAACTGCTAAATATGCTGCAAAAATAATTTTTTTAGATATGTGTAAAGAAAACATGACATATTTGCACGATGAAGACTAAATGTATACATGAGGCAATATGTTGGCAAAACAGTTATGTGGCAATCCAGGTATGCACGTCTGTTTTGGCCAGTGCACAATGTCAAAGTTGTATGGATGCTACGTTTCCAATTCTCTGATGTTTTTAAGCATAATTATATTGCTATGTATACGGTGTCCCATAGAGAATAAGCTTTTGAAATCCCTACAGTTTCTGTTCTACACTTCAGGTCAACTTAAGCTGAGAACACTGGATATAGTAGAAAGTGTAAGCGTCCACCATAGAATGTAGTTCTACCATTTCGAGAAGTAATATTGTAAAATTTAAGCTGTGATATATGAATACTGTTGGACAAAGAGAAGAAAAGGAAAAAATGTGTGAAACGATAGATTACGTTGCGTCCAGCTTTTTGTTTAAAAATTTGCTAAATCATGTCAATCATTCAATGACCAGCCGGAAGACATCCCCTTTTTTGGGCATTATTGGCAAAACTGCAAATTCCAACAACCCCGACCTCACCCCACTAACCGGGAGGAGAAAAAAGCCATTGTTATGGTATCTGCTTCATCTTCAACATATGTGTATAATTTTCACCCTCATAAAGCTGGAAAACCTCATAAACCTAAATAAACAGTACTGCTAAGATTATAGTAATGAATGTTTTTGTCAATTACGAGAGGGCATTTTCCTAATAAATACGATAACAATATTGTTACTTGTTATAATCATTGCGGGATTGAATACCTCAGTTTAAAAAAAAAGCCCTTTCCAATGCCACAAATTAAAAATGCAACAGCCGTTTTCAAGGCAAAAAAAAAGGCAGACCTATAAACAGTTATAAATAACATTATAACTGTTATACAAGCTAACCAATCCCTTAGAAAATATAATTTAGAAGTGTCGCACCAGTAGTTGAGTGCTTAAATCGTTTGAGCGCGAGCAAATGGGCAGTATTCATGGTCGGTTTGGTGGTTTTTTCTCATGTGTAACCTGAATACAAGCTTTTTCCTTTAGAAAGTCCTCCACGAAATGCATCTCACCCCTTAGTTGGATATCTCTTCTGTGCTTCTACTATATTTCAAATCACCTAACCTAACCAATACAGAAGTACTGATCAATTAAATTAAACTATGGTAGAAGGAACAAGGGTTTCTGTCTAGAGGATGAGATGGCTTCATGGGGAATTTATAAGGGTAAAGGACCTTTTTTTTATACAACACACTGAGGGACTTCTATGCAGTTCAAATCTTACAAAAGCCATTACAACCAACTCGCTACATACTACCAGTGTTTCAAGGCTTAAGCAACTCTTATCATTAATGCGCTTGACTTGCAGATGATTCCACCTAAGGAAAGGAATAACCAGATTTTTTTTCCATTTGATATGCTTGTTGTTTTAAAAACCTCAAAATAAATGTATGGTTTTTTTTTTCCTAACTTATACAGTCATACACGATAACTTTCACAGTCATAATATCACTCAGATTCTCAGTTAGCTGAATCAGTCTGCTTTTTATAAATTGAGAGATGTAAAGCAATATATTCCTTTTCGCGAAGCAAAAGACCCACCTTTCACGCCCGCGTCACGCATAGATGTTTCACTCGTCAAAGGAATAAAATTTAATTTTAAAATACAAGGAAACTGTCGTTTAATACGACAAATGTCTTAAAAGCAATAAATGCACTTAAGAATAAATTTTTTTTAATACTTTTTAGTTCTTATGAATATTTGCGCTTTGTTGTAACTAATATAAGACATTTCTAATGTTATAATTTTAATTGATTAGTGGAATTAATTGGTATAACGATTAATTAATTGGTGCAAGATCATTTGATTCTTAATTTTTATGTTTGTTCACAATTTTAAAGCTTTAATATTTTTCTAACATTAATACAGGATATAATTTTCATGATGTCTGCTATAAATATTGTGAGAGTTTTTTTAAACAATTGCAAATTAAAATCAAATTAACGTCTTTAAAAAATAAAAATAAAAATTTCCCCTCGTTCACTGTTTTGGTAACAACCCACATAAAATCTTAAAAATTAAAAGAAAATAACTTACTACCAGATTTTCCAAATTTATATATATTTTACTTTTAACTAAGAGAATGGTCTTGGGGGGGGGGAGTTTGACAAAAACTGCAAGGAATAATTGCTAGCGCTTCCGGTTTCAAGTTTTAAATATCATCAAATTAGTATTTGTCACATTTCGAAAATAGTGAAATATTTAACATAAATTAAGACAATGAATAACATGGCCTACATTTTGCACTATAATAAACTATTAATTTCAACTGCAGTTTCACTGAAAAAAATCTTATTTAAATACGCTGGATTTGGCAAGAAATCAACAAATGTGTAGCAAATTGGAGGAATTGAATATCTGCGGGCAGTTTACTGCATATGGATAACTTGAAGAACAGGGTGAAAAGCTGTAAAAAGGTGGTTCTAGCCTTGTATGTGTTCTCAGGTTAGCTTGCCGCGAAGTATAGTTACTTAATTACATCAGTAAATTTATAAAAGTTGTATTCTTGGTATGTCCCATCAATTGCACATTTCCATTTAAATTATACACTTACAATTACAAATAATTCAACAGAATGCTGTCTGACAGCTGAATCAAAGATCTTGAGTGGAATCGAAGTGAATTCAAGCTCTTTGTAGCAATGGTTTTTTGGCTAATAGTGTGATCTCCTAAGGTATGTTTATTGTGTGTCCTGTTTTCCCAAGAGCTGAGTGTTGCACCTGCCTCATATAGCCTTTTGTTCAGAACAGGGATGGACATTAAATCAATCCTGATCGACCGGTGGACCACCGAGACATTTTAGGGTGTCTTTATCTGACCTGAAACATATTTATGGAACACCGATGCCAGCTAGACTGGAGAATCAGCTTTTCATGATTGATGCGACTGTGTTTACTTAAGCAAATGCTTCAATGAATGTATAGACGACACATGTATATTCATTGGAAGTGCACGATGATGCTTAAGTACACAGGGTTCATAGCCACATTTTAGTTAAAAAAATAAGCACCTATAAGCACTTTTCAAGCACATTTTAAGAAAAAAATAAGCACCTGTCTAATTACATATACACAACTGCATAACCTTAAAAATTAGACTTGTAATTTAAAATATGAGAAATGAAGTATTTATTACGAGAGAATAAGCATTACCTCAACCATGGAAAATAATTACTTTTTTTTTTTTTTAATTTTAAATAATAGTTCAATTTACAGAATTAGTTTACAATGAGAGAAAAAAAAACTATGCAGAACTAAACTATATTACAAGATTTAATGATGAAATTTCAGTTCAAAATAGAGAAAATAATAATAATAAGGCATATTTATTGTATTCGCTTGGAACCTAATAATAAATACAATTTATTTTTCCACTCATATTGATATTTAAATAATTTAAATATAAATTCTGAACATTTTCTAAATTTTCATTGTATATCAGTTTTCTCTTAACAGATATTGCAAGCAAAGTAATTTAAGTAAAAAAGAGGAACATTTCTGAAATCAGAAGACAGAAATTTGCTTCATGCAGTCATCCTTTAACAGTAAAAGCTTAACTAACCCGCATACTTGGAAACTGGCGAATATTCGGACAGTCGAGCGTAACTTGAAAAAGGAGCGGAGGGGGAGTAGACTGTAGCCGCTCTTTAGATTTTTCCGCTAAATAAATGCTTTTGACATTTCGATATGCGCATCATATAAAAATAAACCAATGGAACTGAAAAATATTCTGCTTAGCAAGCACAGTAAAACTCTTTTAAGTGTTCATAAACAAATCTCGGACTGAACATCAAAATTAATTATCTCTGCAAAATATCGCAAACGTTATTGCGCAATACGTGCGCCGTAATTCTTCCCTACGTGATATTACGCAATCGGAATCAACAACTGCCTGGTATTGGGAGAAAAAAGAACTAAATAACTGGGAGTGTTTTTCATTCTAATTTTCAACAGACGGCGTTAAATTTCCGGAATAGAATCATTCTTCGCTTGGGTTGGTAGACCGCAGAACTTTTAGTCCTATTCAATCCAGATTGGAAAGTGACCCCCCCCAAAAAAAGGTCCGTTGCTTGTTTTGCAGCGAACTGTAACAGTTTCAATATTCAAGATTTTGCGGAGAAAGAGGAGAACCTCCCAACCTCGTACTGTATACTGTATTGGCCAAAAAATTAAACTATTTTGACTTTCCCTTTATTTAAGCCATTCCGAATATTATTCCTTAGAAAGCTAATCTGTGTTAAAACATAACCATTTTTGGAAGTTTCCTATACTTCAGAAGTTACTGCAACTATGTTATTATAAACATTCATACATATGCTCGTAATATAAGCATAACAATCATAATAAACACGAATATGAACTGACCAAGCAGAACGAGAATGCAAATCTTTTTAAGATCTTGATAGAATTTCAAACGTGTGTAGTATTTGGGTGGGAGGAAAAGAATGCCGAATGTAGCGGGATTTTCTACTGCTTTCGCAACAGAACGACGGGCACCTGCCTACTCTTCGTGCACAACAAAGGTTATGTTAATGCAGAGAAAGGAGGAAAAGCTATTTCCGGGAGTATGACTCACCATCTGACATTCCATATTAGGAAGAAAAGTTGTTTATTTAGTTTCGGCTTTGGTACGGGGAAAAATAGCACGTTCATTAAAAAAAAAAAGCACTAAAAGCAAAAAATAAGGGCTTTAAAGCAAAAGTAAGCACCTATAAGGGCCTTTATATTTTATTTTCAAATATAAAGACTTATAAGCACTTATAAGGACCGCTACGAACCCTGGTACATATGTAAGTTACAGATTCATCGGTTCACAAATGTTCACTGCTCACTGCATTGAATACACCCATGGTCTAGCAGCTTATAGCTGGCTCTAAAAAACTCTACAATACTGCCCACAGTAGAACCAATTATTATTCAGCATCAAGTCTGGAGGAAACCTCTTATTTAAGTTTATTAACATGTTGCCTAGCAAAACTTAAAATGTACAAACAGCTATCTGTAAATGGTTAATAACTGTAAAACAATGCAAAAAATGTTTACCCGCAGAACTAATCATATGATACTTTCGATCTGGGTTTAATTAAATCACAAGATTTTTTTGTTTCATTAAAAAAATAACCGCAGTTATTTCAGTCTATTTCTTATATATCAGATACTTAAATCCAACATGCATGTTCAGTGGAACTTATGGCTGGCTTTAAAGAAACTCTATAACGTTGCCAATAGTAGATCCAATTTATTATTGAGTAACAAGTCTGCACAAAACCTCTTACTTAGTCATTTAACATGTTGCCTTATAGGGCTTGACATGTACAAACAGCTGCATGCAAAAGGTTAATAGCTGCAAAATGCATATGATTTCCCCCCCCCAAGAGGTTAACATATAATTTGGATTTGGGTTTAATTAACTACCAAGATTTGTTTTCATTAAAAAAAGAACAAATGCGGATATTTCAGTTTATTTCTTATATATCTGATGAATGATGAAGAGAAATTCCAGCACAGATTACATAGGCAGAAATAAAAATTGCAATGCATTTTAAATACCAAATTACTTTTGAATGTTTAGTACTTTCATGTAGCGAAACTACAATAGAAACTGAAAAGATGGAACAACTTTATAACGAATTTATATTTATTATGTTTACAGACTATTACGTTCAAGAAGTTACATGAAATGCAGTATAAATAACATATTTTTCAAAATCTTCTTTGCATAAAGAAAAGTGACTAAAATGTTGTCAGCTGATAACATACAGTATAATAAACATCAAACACTGCTTATTAGTTACTAAAAAAATATTTAATTAGCTTCTGAAAAATTTCTTAAAAATAATAAAAAGTTTTTTTAACTACCTTCTTCATTCTCATCTTCGCTTTCATCTTTCCCACTTTCTTCTTTCCCACTTTCTTCTTTTGCACTATCTTGTTTTATGCTATCTTTATCACTGTCTTTGGAAGAATCATCTGTTGGCTTCTGATCTTCTGCTTGAATTTCACTTTCGTCGTCTTCTTTGACATCAGGGGGCTAATTTAAAAATCCAAAAATAATTATCTTTCATGTCAACAGGCAAAAATCACTTATGAATACAGTAACCACAGCTTATTTAATTTTACTAGTTAATAAAAAGAAGCTGCTTATTATGTTAAAATTTTCCAAGAATCAAAACAAATATATACTAATTATTAGAGAAACAACCATTTATTAAACTCAACTTCACTATTTACAAAACATAGATGGGCAAGAAAACTGATTCTTCAGGGCTAAAATATCTTACTGGTACCTATCAAAACTGTCTCTAGTTTATCCATTTAACTTCATGAGGGTAAAGGATTATAAATTGCACAATTATGCAGAGCGTAAAGAAAAAATATTTAGCTAACATTTTGGCTAATGTAGTTTCTATAAACACCAATTTCGATCAAGACGTTTTGTAACCCTTTTGCGACAGCGCACCTTTGTTTAAGACGCTCGTGCGGGACGGAAGGGAATCGAAGGCAGTTAACGTATAAGATGGAAGTTTTGCATCGCTAAGCCTAATTTTATAAAAAAAAAATCAGGGAAAAAAAAGTTTCGCTTCTAGCATCATAATTTTGGGTATCATTTTAGATTATTACTTGAGCTCTTATGTATGTTAAAATTAGCACTTAATAACATTTTTTTTCTTTATTTTACTTGAAAATATACTTAAAAAGTTGCTTATCTTGTAACAATTTTCGGAAGCGATATTCAAATATTCCAAAATTTTAATTATAAAATCCATCAATAATTTTATAAAAGTAAGCTTGAACTTTCAATTATGTCAAATAGAATTTCCGATATATATTACTAATATGTAAAGGATCTATGAAGCGAAAGTATGTTTCGAAGTCCATTAAACAAAAAGTGGAATTGCTGCAAAAAATGGATAAAGGCATAATCCTTGTTTATCTAACCATTCCAAAATCTGTTTATAAATTTCACGCTGCTCTG